TATATTTAATGAAAATAATAACAAGCAAATATCTTTACTCAGTTGTTTGTCGTAATTATTTCGGCGATGTCGAATTGCAGCAAGCAAATAATAGTTATTTAATATGTCGTATGAACGGGTGTTTACAAGGAATGTATGTCATTTCTAGAGGTACAATAAGTTATGTTATGAATTGCAATCGTGAAGTATCATAAATTAACACTTTTTCAAAAGTTAAAATCGCTCAATTATTCTGCGAGTAATTAGGACAGGTTATGATAAGTGTTAACTTGTAAACCTTCCACAATGAACAATATATAGGAAACTTCATTATATCTTCATTTTCACCAACTTTCCCCTCACGCACAGAAGCATGCAGTCACTATATACACTGAAGCATTGTAACCTGAACATCACAAAATCCCTACAGATAACTTTTTTAATAATAAATGCTTTAAAGGTATGGGCCATAAGTGCATCTTCTATATCCTTCATAGCCACAAGTAATTCATTAAGGATCTCAAAATATTTTAGTGATCTGAAAACGAATAATTGTTAAGACTGGTACAACTTATGTAACAGGTGTAGTAGTTGTAGGACACAGCTGCTAGCTACTAATCGACAGAAAGCTGATACTAATTTTAAGTAGTCTGGCATTTTAGAACGGCCATCTATGCTATTCTTCGTGCCCCAATGCACACTGACATAAACATTATCTGATGCCATTTCATGCACTGAGAAATTATGGTCTTCTGAAATTCCATGTGCAAATGCAAACTAAACTAGTATCACGTCTTCACCCAAGCAATTTTAACTAGGAACTTCATCAAAATAGATGTATTCACGAGGAAATTCAGCAGCCTGTCTCATTCATCGCATGATCTCTTCGATATGCTATGGAATGTTTCAGTCATCAAGGATGATAACAGAAGTGTTTAACATCCTCAAAATACACATCTAACTTATGTCTGTAGGCTATTTCTCTTTCAAATGCCCGATTCTCATAGAATAACTGGGATGACAACAGCCACTGCCTGTAGTCAATTTACAACTTTAAGGTCCAAAACAACTTGCAGAAGACAAATCCTCAAGTCTCTAAAACGCACATAATAGTTTTTCTATGTGAAATTTCTTAAAAAGGATGACTTTTTTTATTAATAAATCGTCTGGGCTATAAAGACAATTTTACGCACTACTACGAACACATTACATCCATCACAGTAGTCATTAATTTTAGATGCCATATCTTACCGTTTAGATGTTTTTCGCGTGTAGGAAATAGCAAGAACGTAAAGTTCAGACCCATCGCTATCACTTCCCCGTTTCTTAAGCTCATGGAAAAACTAGTACTTCTTAAACTCGAACCCTCCCTTAAAAGCTTCCAAGACCCCAAACAATTTGCCTACAGACAGGGTAGGAGCACTTTAGACGCTGCAGCCGTCTTACACAACAGTATTATCTCATCATTAGACAAAGGTGCCAAATATGTCCGCTGCACGTTTCTTGACTTTACTTCTGCTTTCGACTCTGTACCTAGAAGTCTCTTGCTAAATAAGCTCTCCATGACACAAACCGAGTCCTGGGTCACTAACTGGTTGCATTCCTACTTTTCAAACAGAATGCAGTACACCGTATACAAAGGCCAATCCTCCTCTGCTGTGCTCACAGAAGCTGGTGTCCCCCAAGGTGCTGTACTCTCCCCACTTCTCTTTTCTTTCTTCCTACATGACCTACCGTCTTCAAATGACATTAACTTTGTCAAATATGCTGATGACCTAACTGTATCTTTACCTGTCAAATGTCAAAGTGACTGCACTAAACTAAATGGCTTCTTATCGGAAATTAGCCAATGGTCCAAGGAAAACGGTCTCACCTTAAATCCCTCCAAATGCCAAACAGTTAATTTCACCCTTAGGCATAAATCTGACCTAAACAAACTGGTTAGCACTCACGAGATGTGCAACATAGATGGCAGTGAAATAGAAACCAAGTCGGAAATTAAATACCTAGGCGTCACTTTATCCTCTGATCTTTCCTGGTCGTCTCATATCTTGACGATTTCCAAGAAAATATACCGTCTTACCTTCTACATCAAGAAGTTAAGACATTCTGGTGTAACCCAACCCTTACTCCTACAATTTGTTAACTCCCGGATTCTGCCTATTATTCTCTATTGCTCCCCCTTAGTCTTTCCTGGGCTATTGAAGAAAGACTATACCTTATTACGTAGGATGTTAAAGGTTGTCAGCAGGGTAAGCAGCTTGCCACTTAGCCAGCTAGTTAATATTCTGGTGGACAGGCATATGGACTCATGTGAAAAATGGGCGAAATCCATTTTATCTGACTCACAACACCCTCTACATTCACAACTCTCCCCATGTATCTCTTCAGGGAAAACAAGAAGCCTATATAGGAAACTATATGCCCGCACTAGTAAGTACAAAAACTCATCCATACCCTACCTAGCCCGTGTTCTGTGCGATAAAGAATGCATCAGGCATGAAACCTTTAACTTATTAAATAGTCAGTAGAACCAATGGATCTCGTCTTTCCAACTCACATCATTTATAGGTACAACGTTTTCTCGCTCTTCATTCTGTATTTTATTTTTGTTATGTGCTGTTTTGTTTCTCTCTTCCTTGCAAACTCTACTTAAAACTTTCTTGTTCGTTCTTTCACACTCTGTATATCTCGACCATTTTGCTATCGCTTACGCCAGTAAATATGCTAGTAGTTTCTACTTCTCTAACACCTTCAAACACTGTTTAAATTTTGGCTTTGCTACCCACATACTAATATGTTGTTGAGATAACTTTAATCTATGTAGAACTTTATTTATTGTTAATGTAAAAAACTGGATGCAATATTGTAGTAAAATGCTGAGAATTCCATTCTGTATCACAAGTACTGATTTGGAATAAAGCTTATGTTATGTTATGTTATGTTATATTAACAGAATAGAGGATGTTGGATGTTTGGCGAGAGTTTCAGCTTAACATGTCAACCTTCTTAAGTGGACTTTCAGTAAGTTAGAGATCCACTGGAGATCCCGAAGTTCATTTGACTATTATTCAACCATGTTATTAGTTTTTAATTATTCCTGACCAAATTATACAATGGTGATGCAGAAATAAACCATCAACCAAAGAATCGGGGCAAACACTCTCAGTATATTCATCGACTCATCAAAAATGATGTCGGTCGTCCAATGCTCAGTAAATGCAAATACATACATGGGCCAGTGGCTTACTTTCCTCAGTGGCGTGAAAATATTAAGAGATATGCACAGGTCACTTACATAGTCAGGGGAGAATAAAGTACGGTTATGAGACACCTGCATGAAGAAAACAAACTGCTTTGTTATTCTGACTTGAAGCCATTTAATATTTCGACCTTGAGCCGCTGTCCTCTGTTTGCTTGTGGTTAGTTTGTGTTTTGGTATAAATTATTTCTATAATGAGAAAAAATTACTCTATATCATTGCGATCCACAATATATTCTGTGTAGACACTCACCATCACGTCACAAAGCGGTCCGCGGAGATCTCTGAGGACCAAGTACCCCAAGCTTACTATAATGCTGAATCATCTCACTAATTCTGAGATAATTCTAACATTATGTAGTGAGTAAATTCTGAATCTGTTCTAAAATGGATTGTTTAATGGCAGAGACCAGAATTCAGTGCTGGTTTCAAGCATGGCTGGCACTAATTCAGCACCCTGTTTTTCCTAGTCATTTTCGGGAGTAGATCAGAGCCTACTGGGTTTGCTCATCAGCGTTGTTCCAGCCCTCACAGGATATATTAAGCACAGACTAGCGTTACTTCAGAACGAAAAGACTTAATTCACCACTCACGTCGCTTTTTAAGCATGACCAGCGTTATTTCAGAATAAGTTTAGAATTGTTGTAAGCGAGGTACCTCGTTTGCTTCTTCATTTGTTTCATCTGAAGACCATTACCTAGTTGATATTGGACTTCCGGATTAGTAGTGAAGGTGACTTTATTTCCTCTGTTTTCGGTTTGTTTTCGACAGGTCTGGGGGGGTGGATGTATGTTGAAACCCCAATTACCATTCCTAGCAGCAACAAAGTCGTATGATGAACCATATATTTTTCCAAAAGGTTAACTTCTATCCGTAATTCGGCTGCCTTCAGTGTAGCCATTAAGTTAGAACATCGTGCTGAAACCTGTCAAGGCTCTTGTAGCGTTTGGGAACACGAGAAAGTGGACACAGGAAAATCTTTATACATAGAGCTCAACAAACACCGAGTGTGCAAGGCAGTTGTTGCTATTTTCAGTAACTCCCATGCTATAACTCTCCTAGTTTTGCCGACAGTGTTTACACTAATTAGTATAACTTAATACAGCAGTGGCGTTTCTGTAAACCAACTGTATTTCAAGTATATAGTCAGGGGGCCGCCACAATGACTTCGTATCACCTCTTCAAGATAAGTCATTCGATATTTCAATGTAGGTAAATTGAAACTTCGCGGACAAACAGGTGACTGACTAATGACGAAAATAATCGTCTCTTTTCTGGCTTTCATTGGTTCCTTAACAGATATCGGTTGGTAGTGTAGTTCTTCATCAAATCACTTTGCTCGATTTAACTGTTGAATTGTACTAGCGATACATGTGTAAGTACATCCTTTGAGTTATTTTTGTTAAGCAAATAAAATTGCGATCACCTAATTAGACGAATTTAAGGTAAAAAAATCTATACCTAGATAATATTTGGCTCTTAAATGACAGCCTCGTACACATTTGACATGTGGTAAATTAAGCGTAAATCGTAAGGAATTTGTATGTTAGCATTATGATACTTTATTTGACACGTATTTCTGGGTATTTGTTCACTGCTTCAAACTGAAGTGTCGTCTACTAGGTGTCTTACATATAATATTATGGCTCGTTGTCCGGTGTGTAAGATATTTTACGCCGCTGAGGTTTTTTCTGTTCTTAGGGATTGGTGAAGATTTTTCAACTCTTTTCAGAATACTCCGTTGGCCAAAACTCCGAGTATGTGGGGTCTCAGTATAATTTTGTCGTCAAAATCAGCGTGTGGTTGTAAATTTTCACAGTCCTTCAGAACCCGCGTTTATCATTTCGCTCTTCGACCTAAAATGATTAGTCCTGATGATGCGGTAGACTCAAAGGACCCCCGCCTTGTTAAATTTGTTGCCCCGGCAGGCAAATGGGAGCATACGGGGTCAAATTATGATGATCTTGTTTCAAGAATTGTTGGAATGATGACCATAAGAGGAGAAAGAGAAGTCGCGAGAGACGTCATGCGCATGACATTTAGGGAAATTAAATTGATACAGGTACTTTTACGGTTTGTTTGTAATTTTATCAATTCTTGTAGATAAGGAAAAACAAAGGTAGTGCAGGCAGTCCGGATGGTGAAAATACTGTTATAAATCCAATAGCCGTAGTTCGTGAAGCAGTGAAGAACTGCACGCCTTTGCTACTTTTACAGTCAGTGCCACGTGGCGGCATCTTGTACAAGGTAATCATTACTAGTTTTAACTACTAATACCTTCTTTACTCTCTAGTACATTTTGATGATTTTGGTTACTGTGCATTTCATCTATTAAGACTTAATTTTCTGTGGTTTATTAGAGTTAAGTTTTGTATAGAATGGTTGATTCATTAACCCTCCAAAGGTTTCGCAAAATAAAAATGCATATTAACTAACCACAAGTCTGTCTGTCTGTCTAACCACAAGTGCCTGGTTTGAGTGTAAACTTATCCTAGATTGTCCATTTGCTGACGAGTCAATTGGATAAGTAGGAGGATCTAACACACGAGCATCAGAAGGTCTTGGGCCCTAACGACTCAGTGCAAGTCACTACACTTCATGGTGAAAAAGGAAATCAAAGAAGAATAAATTTGCTAGGCCTAATGTAACATTGTGCATATAGTAATGGGACATTCAAGGCTGTAGAGGTGATGTGAATAAAGCCAATTCCTTCAAAATTAGTAGATGTTATTTCTTGACGTATGAACCAGACTAACACGAACCAATTTACCAGACTGATTGGTTGATGGAGTCTATCACACCAACCACCCTCCGACTCGACTCTGTCGATCGGGAAGTTCTCTGGAGATGCTTGGCTGTAAAGGGAATTCCGAGAAAATATATTGCACTGATTAAAGCACTCTATTCGTTCTCATACAGCCAGGTGAGGCCTTACGGCGAGCTGTCATCTGAACTGATGACGACCAGTGGTGTCCGTCAAGGATGCCCATTATCTCCTTTTCTATTCAACTTCATCATAGATGTGTTAATGGACTTAACCCTAGGTGACTTCAGTGACTCAGGAATTGACTTGCTACCGGGGAATAATCTCGTTGACTTGGAATATGCAGACGATATAGTCCTTCTAGGCGAAGACGCTGACGAAATGCAGAGTCTTCTAAACACCTTGAGCCGCAATCAACGAATGTTTGGCATGCGATTCGCTCCCGCCAAATGCAAGATGATGTTACAGGACTGGACTACATCGACGCCTAGTTTAAAAATAGGAAGTGAAGTGGTAGAGCACGTTGACCGCTTCACTTATTTGGGAAGTACCATCAGCCCCAACGGGCTGATCTCTGACGAAATCTCAGCACGAATACAAGGGGCTCGTTTCGCATTTGTTAGTTTACGTCGACTCTGGCGTAGACGAGATGTTCGACTATCGACCAAAGGGCGGGTGTACTGCTCATCAGTCCGCTCCGTCCTCCTTTATGGTTGTGAGACTTGGCCACTGAGAGTGGAAGACATGAAAAGACTAGCTGTCTTTGATCATAGGTGCCTGCGTTCTATTTCCCGTGTAAAGTGGCATAATAAGGTGAGCAACATTGAGGTTAGGCGTAGAGTTCTAGGTAAACAGGGGAAATCAATCGACGAAGTCGTGAAGTTACAAAGACTGAGATGGTTAGGACATGTGTTACGTATGCCAAGCCATCGCCTCCCTCGACGAGCAATGTTAGCGGATATAGGGTCAGACTGGAAAAAAGCTAGCGGCGGTCAAACAAAAACTTGGCATCAGTCAATGAAATCCACAACAGTTGGTCTAAGCCACGTAGGAATGTGTAGACTTCCTGACTGGTTGGGGTCCTCGCGACGGTAAAAATCTATGGTTGGAAACAATTGGTGACATGGCTCAAACTCATCGTTCTCAGTGGCTAGCGCAGATACATCCACTCCCTGTGACTTATGATCTTCAATGAAACTGTTTTGTTCTTCGTTATTACTCCTCCTTTGTCTCACACCTCTGCTCACTGTCTCTATTATGCTTTTCTTGTACTTTCTTCTCTTGCTTCGCGTGCTACACGGAATGTGGCGACTTGAACTTCCGCACATTTGTGCAAAGTTGTATGTCGAAAACAGACAGACAGACCCTCCGACTACTTCCAAATTAATCTTACTCCAGCAAACATAGTGTGATAAATTGATTGGTAGGTCAGTATGTGACACGTCACTTTCACATACACTTCGCATACATAATCTCTTTGTTCGTTAAACTTTGTTTTTTGAAAATTGCACCTAATTTTAGTATCATCTTTCGGGAGACAAATATAGTCAACTGCTTTTAGCTCTTTCCATATCGCATGCCGTTAGTGATCATATAGTGTGTCGGTGATACAGCGGCAGAATGCTCGCCAACCATATGGCTGGTTCGGGGTTCTATCCCCAGACGATGTACTCCTATACTTCTCTCTCTAAGCCAGTAATAAGACTGGTAAAGAAGGAAGGTTGGGCCAGATGAGGCTAGCTAGCAACCTTATCCCGTAAAAATAGACACCACTGCTACTGAAACATCAAACCTCTGGCTTGAAGGCGCCCTACTTTCCACTGGGAGCGTAAAGGAATAATATTTATATGTAGTTGCGCAATATAATTGGTAAATTAGAAAGAAACCAGTTAGTTTATCCAATCTCTTAGATAAGTAAGGAGTAACAAAAGTTGGCCGCTACATTATATCGCTCAATAAGTGTTACTGGAAATCACTTTTGGCACATCATCTTACACTTGACTGCTGTAAACTAAATAGTTAACACTGCCGGACTTAAACTTTTATCAATTAATTGTCTTAGGTACACATGTATTAGCGCTTCGATAATTAGAAATAATTACACCCGGAACGCATTTTTGGATTCATTTGAAAAATGTATTTACCAATTCTATTTACTACTTTGGGAATTTTGTCAGTGACATTAGCATTGCTTGCATTTATTCTTAATTCAAACTCTGATAGCATCATGTGATCAAGAAAAGGATTGACACTTCACAGTGAGTAGTTTCAAAATCGTTAATTACTGAGACTTCTGAAGATATATCTGAATGCGCCCAGAATGATCGTGTCTCCGGTTACATTTAATGTAGCAGCATATGGAATAGCATATGTAAGGTAGGTATATATCAAGCATCGAAGCCGTTGAGAATGAAAATAACAGTGTGGTTAAATACACACAGCTACATAAGGTGGTATCCTTAGCTTGACAGGGCTTCACATAAGACAAAGTTGGATTGACTCCAGTGAAACAAAGATAAGCCCATCTGACAAGTGCAGTTATATGCTTATACTAGCCTTTCAAAAGTATTCTTTTCTCGTGTATGTGTGTGGTGGGGATGGGGGGGGAAGAGAGCACATCATAGTAGAAACTTCCATATGTGTGAATTATTTCATGTTCAAATCGACGGAAAAGGTAAGTAGGTGAAAGTAAACAGTTACTGAAAGGTGTTCAAAATCTCAAAGATTATAAACAGTAGACAGATCACTGATGATTTTTAGTAGCTTAAATATTTAATTGTTTAACATTTTGAAAACTACGTTTCGACAACTTACAACTCCTTTTTTGACTGGTTTTAAAATCAGGAGGCTTTATCGGATTGGTACATGTTAGCAGCGCATGAAAGAGCTGAAGAGACATTGACGTAAAGCGTTGCACATAAGCACATTGGTATGTGCACCATTAGGCCGAATCAAAAAGATTCGATATTATTCAGAAGATTGATCCTGTCAGGAGGAATAACGCCTTAACTACTATGGATATCGACGAGCATTTGTTCCATGAGACTTGTCTTAGCAGTTTATTTTTTTTATATGTTTTCTTCATAAATCGTTCTATTTTTTGGAGACAATTATTTCTAACAATCACAACTCTCTAGTCTTGTTGAATACATAAAGTAACAATTCCTTGGCAATTTTTATGTACGCAACTTTAAAAGTTGAAGTGACCATTTCATACAAGCATATTCTCTTTAAATTACAAGTCAAAAGGTTTTAATTTAATTGAATTTGAGATTTTCCCGTCGATTGATTGATTGGATGATTGAACCGAAGTGCTCCTCGGTCTCTGGTTGACATGTCTGTTGGCTTCCTTGTACAGATGTTTCGATGACAATGTCTGGGCCTTTTTAATTAGTAATTAATTGGTGGATGGTGACTGACTAGCAGTGGAATCCAATTCAGGATAGCGCGCATTTCGTCCTATTTGAGACTCGTCCACCAGCTGGGGATGTATCTGCATTTCTAGTGGATAACGCTTTGGCTGCTGGCGTTTGAAACTATGGCCACTGGGTTCAAGCCTCGGTGGTGGTGGGGAAATCATCATCATTGACTCACTGAGAAATGCAGGTACATCCTCCAGCCAACTGACGAGTCCCAAATAGGACGGAGGAAATTCGCGTTATCCTGAACTAAATTCCACTGTAAGTCAGTCACCATCATTCACCACTTAAATAAAAAAAGGTTTTATTGATCTTCTTTAACTTCCTTATACCCTTTAATTGAGTATTCTGAATTATATATTTAATCTCTTTTCCAGGTACCGGCTCCTCCAGTCTCTGACTCGGTTGCTATTCATGCAGCTGTAAAATTAATCTTAGATGCAGGAAAAGACAAACCACGTGAACAGCGTATTTGGATATCCTTGGGGAATGAGCTTATAGCAGCTTCACAAAATCAGGGGACAGCTGTAAAGCGTAAAATTGAATTGCACAAGCAATGTGAAGAAAATCGTGCTTACGCCAATTATAGATCACACTGAATATATTTAGTAGTAATTTACCACACTGATCGTGTGCTTGTAAATAGTATGGAAATAAAATAAAATGAAAACACACTTTTTTTCTTCTAATGAGATGTCTTCCTTTTTTTGCATTCATTGAAAGTTAATTTGTACATTTGTGTTGAATTGCTTATACACATCGGTCAAGTGACCAGGGTATTATTATTATTTCAGTTGATTGATTGTGATATCTTTTTTTATTGTTCCCTTAGGTTCCTAGTGAAACATAGGGCTTCAACTGCACGTCTCCATTTGCTTCTGTCTTCTGCTGTACTTTTCACCTGAATCCATGTTACTCCATACTGTTTCAACTTCTCCAACTGACACGATCTCTTCCATGTCACCCTTGCACTGACGCCCGACTTGCCACGTGCTTCCCTTTCGGGTTCTACCCGAGCAATGGCCTGACGCCCGTGCGATGTCGCCCAGGGACGGCCTCCTCAGCGAGTGTCCAATCCATCTTCACTTTCTCCTGCATATTTGCTGTTGTTGGCGATTGGTTCTTGTTTTGTTTGTGCCCATAGTTTCTTGTTTTTGGTGATTCTTCCCGGCCATCTGATCTTCAGTATAGAGATTGTGATTGTCATATAGGAAAATGTATATTCAAAGATTCAAAATTGGTTGAGAACATGTTATAGCTATATATGTCCAAACCAAGTTCACTTTTAACGGTTTGAAAAAAATTGGGCATTGGGTATATGATATTCATTATAATAAAGGTTTTTGTAATTCCCAATGAATGAAAAACAAAACGATATTGTTGCTCTTACTGACGTTTCGCTATTTAATGCTAATAGCTATATCAAAGCAGTATTATTAAACCGGAATTCACAAAATATCAGCATATATATAACAAAGAGTTAAGGGGTAAGAAAAATATACTTGAGTCAAGTTAAAGGGACGTATAGAAAGTCAGAATAGTAATGAATATCACTAAACCAAATAAAAAAGTTAATAGTACGTCTGTTATTATATCAAAATAAAGTTAACTAACTTGCTCATCGTTCGTCTGTCTGGGGTCGCTTTTGGTTGTCAAGTTGGTCAATTGGTAAAGATAACAAAATCAAGTGTAGATTGTCGGGTTTTATCAGTGTGTAAAATTAATAAAGCAGCGTTTGTTTACATAATGAAATTGCTTATGACATTCATGTTGATTTTGTCACTTCATGGGGGAGATTGAGGGGCCGTGTTGTAACCAGGTCAGATTCTGTTTTAGTCCATTATTCCTATTCACTTCAGACAATTTGGATTCCACTTGATATGTAGTGTTTCTGATATTAGACGTTCTTTGTGATTTCTGAAGTTTTTCTGGATTATTTCAATATTGTCAAAATCAATTTTGTGGCCTGATTCTATCGCGTGTAAACCTATGGCTGATGATTTCGCAAGTTTTTCTAGTTCAACTGGATTTCTTGGTGATCGAAGAGATGCTCTACGGTGTTCATTTCTTCTGATTACCTTGATTTCTCTCTAGCGATGTTTGTCCGATGTATATCGCATCGCATTCCAAGCAAGCATTTTATTTTATAGGCACAATTAGATAGAGAATCTTTTAGGGATTTGGTCTTTTATATGGACAAGGTTGTTTCGTAGTGTGTATGATGTTTTGAAGAAAACTCTAATGTTGAGCTGATTGAGTACTCTTCTGATATCGTCTGACGTCTCTGCTATACATGGAATGACGACTGTTGAGGTCCATGTTTTCGGAATGCAGTTTTGACCATACTTAATGTCAGTGTTGATTTTGTTGATGAAGTTCTTTGGGTAGTTTTCTGCTTGAGAGTTTCATTAGTGTTTGATATTTCTTCTTTTTCTGGCTCATCCGTTATCACAGAGTGTGCTCTTTGTTATTTGGTTTAGTGATCTTCATTACTATTCTGACTTTCAATATGTCCTCCTTTTAACTTGACCTAAGTAGTCTATTTTCTCACCCCTTACCTTTTTGTTATATGTATGCTGAGTGGATTTTGTAAATTCCGGTTTAATATAGCTGCTTTGATAAAGCTATTAGCAACAAGCATTAAATAGCGAAAAGTCAGTAAGAGTGACAATATCGTTTTGTTTTTCATTCATTGGGAAATACAAATACCTTTATTACAATGTTGTATCTATAGCTGTTGAATACTTAATTAAAAAGTAATATTTCTTAGGCATTTGTTGCATTTTTTTGCACTTATTTTTATTATATGGACTAATTTACTTATTTGAAGCTGTCATGGTGGTAACTGTCAGCCATTACAGTCTTTTTTGTTTTATTAACCACTTTCGTGTAACTTAAGGAGCATCGAATTCATGTATTTTCCAGGGATTTTGATTGTTTTCAGATTGAATCATAAAGTGATTTCAGTTAGAGGATCATTGTGAAACAGGTTGTACTGTACAGTTATAGTTGTTCTTCAGTAGTACTCACCTGTGCCAGGAGTCGAACCCCAATGAATGTCATGTTACAGAGTGACAGTGTTGACCGTTTAGCCACTGGAATGGAATCCAAGTGCCCATCCAACTTTTTTGTAAGGCTAAGGAGTTCGTCAGCTGCGATTGAACCCAAGACCACATGCTTGGTTGGCCAGCATTGTACTGTTAAACCTCCGATACCTCTAAGACGAGGGACTTATTGGACAAGTGTCCTAACTTCAGACTCTTCACCAGTATGCACTCAGGACCTTCAGGTTACGAAGTGAGCTTGTAGACTATTCAGCCACCGGGGCATCGAGTCGAACTTCTACGAATTTGTGGCATAGCAAGTCCGTCGATCAATGTGATCGGTGAGTGTCTACCCTCATTCCTATCTTTGGAATCTAAGGATCTTGGGTTCGATCCCTGGTAGGATGATTGGTGGGTACTACCGAGGAGTCCTAAGCCGGTACGAAATAACTGTTCACTACTCCCTGGTCTTCATTGGTTCTCTAGCTGGAGTCAAGTTGTGATAAAACTCGAAGTTATGTAGTTATTTTTCTAAAAATGAAAGCTGTTGCATGTCTGAAGCATAACTGAAGTAGGTTGTTTTCTTTCCTGAAAATGCGTCGGTGGCATAGCTGTTAGGATGCTTGCCGACCATACACATGGTCCGGGGTTCGATCCCCGGCCACCAACGCACTGCTTTACCTCGCTGAGCCGGAAATAATGCTGGTAAAGAGGAAAGGTTTGGCATGAGGCTGGCTAGCAACCCCATCCTGTAAAATAAACACTGCTACAGAAACTTCCAGCCACTAGCTTGAAGGTGCCCTATGTTCCACTTGGGAACGTGAAGGAAAAATAATAATAATAAAAGGGAAATGGATAAACACAATACGGATCTGGTAAATGACTGGATGTGTGACTTTCACAGTTAGTTTTTATTATTTTTTCAAACAATTAGAAATAATGTTTTACCTTTTCCTTTTTTCACTGGTTTTCCTGTGAACATGAATTGTTCGAGTTTGTAATACATTTGCATCACACTTTAATTGCATGTGGTTGCACCATATTTTATTGTAAGCTGATGTACATTGTACACTGAATTCCATCGGTTGCAGAAGTCTGAAACTTTGCTCTCAATAAAATAAGAAAGTGAGTGTATGCACCTTTTTTAAACAATTCGATGTATTAGCAGTAGTAGGGCTTCAACTGCACGTCTTCTCTTGCTTCCGCCTTCTTCTGTACTTTTCACCTGAATCCATGTTACTCCATACTGTCTCAACTCCAACTGACACGATCTCCTCCATGTCACCCTTGCACTGACGTCCCACTCACCGCGTGCTTTCCTTTCGGGTTCCACTCGATCAGTGGCCTGACGCGCGCCCGGTATCACCCAGGGACGGCCTCCTCAGCGAGTGTTCAATACCTGGCCGACAACTGCTACTTTGCCGTAGTGGTCGGGCTTGAGTACTGCAGTAACCCAACAAGCTAAATTGTCTGAGATTCTTCTTCCTGCAGGTCCTACCTTGTCAGGAAGGTTGTTTAGAAAGCGGTTAGACTAAAAGCAGTTACCATTGGGTACGTGGGTTCCTGAATTCAATCGGATCAAATGGCGTATGAACCCATATGGGTCACCGGCAACCATGGGAATGCAGCTCCTGACGCTGCTCCACTGCCTTGCGGATTAGACTCCAAGTCAAAGGCTCGGGAGTTGGCCCCTTAAGAAAACCACCTGCTTCGGTCTGAGCGCCCGGTAAGTATGTCAGCCCTCACACAACTTGTGTGGTGCATCTTTCTTGGTGCCATATTGTACCAAGTTTTTTCTGCGTTTTAATAAGTAAATAAATAATAAGTGTCCAGTCCATCTCCACTTTCTCCTGCATATCTGTTGGTTGGCGATTAGTTCATGTTGTCTGTTCCCATAGTGTCTTCTTGGTGATTCTTTCCGGCCCGGCCATCTGATCCTCAGTATAGAGCGAAGACAGTTAGTTGTTAATAAACGTAACGTCTGCAACAGCCTGTTGGAAATATTCTTTGTGACCCACCCGCCAAGTTTTGGTCTGATCCGTATAGAAGAACTGACTTTACGATTGTATTGAAAATCCGAATTTCGTTGTTGATGCTGGCTGAGTGACGAAATTTCATGCATTTATTCCCCTTGATAAATTTCAATAAAGCGAGAACAACATTGATTTGTGCAGAATAACATGGTACTAAGCACACTCATCATTAGTTCACACATTAAGAAAATGAGTAGTGTTCGTTAATCAAATACATCTTAGAAAATGCATCAAGGCATCAGGATGAGTTTCAACTAAAAATTAACTGTGCGATATTCAAAATAGTATAATGAATGAGGTGGATAAATTGAGAAATACGTCATCATACAACCAGGTTTCATGATTCAATGTAAAGATGGACAAGAGGAGGAGACGCTGAGTTTAACATGCACAGCACTAGGCAAAGAAGTGAAGACGAGTGGTAGGAAGGACAAAAGACAATTCTACGACAATCTGGCCACTGAAGCTGAGAAGGCAGCAGGTGAAAAGGATCTGAGGGCATTATATCAGATAACTAGGTAG